AGTCATCAGAAAGGAAGCTGAAACTTGTGTAGGAAAAAAAGCTCCACATATTGATACTTAGATTTTGTAGCTAAAGTAGTAGTAGAGAGAAATTATATCCTTATATGGGCATAATAAAAAGCTTTACAATAATCTCATCTTCAACAAAAAGTTACAAAAAATAGCCTATAACCAAAGATAGATAGCTGAAGGAAGGAATAAACGTAAAAGCAGAAGCTAATTAAAACAACAGTGAAGGGGTGCCTGGGTGCTACAGTTGGTTAAGTATCTGACTCTTGATTTTGGCTCAGGTCATGATCTCAGCGTTGTGAGATCGATCCCCACATCAGGCTCCACACTCAGCGTGGAATCTGCTTAAGACATTCTCTCCCTCTCCCTCTGTCCCCATCCCTGCGCTCACGCATGCGCATGCTCTCTCTCTCAAATAAATAAATCTTTTTTTAAAAAACACAGTGAAAATCAATAAAACCAAAAGCTCGTTCCATGAAGAATAAAGTATTATCTGTGATAAACATTAGTCCAAAAAAATCAGAAAAACCATTAGGAATAAAAAGGAACAAATGAGGGGCGCCTGGGTGGCTCAGTCGTTGAGTGTCTGCCTTCGGCTCAGGTCATGATCCCAGGGTCCTGGGATTGAGCCCCGCATCAGGCTCCCTGCTCTGCGGGAAGCCTGCTTCTCCCTCTCCCTCTCCCCCTGCTTGTGTTCCCTCTCTCGCTGTCTCTGTCAAATAAATAAAATAAAATCTTTAAAAAAAAAAAAGAACAAATTAAACATTTTTATTTTTTCCCCAAATTTTTATTTAAATTCTAGGTAGTTAACATAGAGTGCAATATTGGTTTCAGGAATAGAATTTAATGATTCATCACGTGCATACAACACCCAGTGCTCATCATAAGTGCCCTCTTTAATACCATCACCCGTACAGTCCATCCCCACCCACCTCCCTCCATCAACCCTCAGTTTGTTCTGTCTTTAAGAGTCTCTTATGGCTGGGGCGCCTGGGTGGCTCAGTCGGTTAAGCGTCTGCCTTCGGCTCAGGTCATGATCCCAGGGTCCTGGGATCGAGCCCCGCATCGGGCTCCCTGCTCCGCGGGAAGCCTGCTTCTCCCTCTCCCACTCCCCCTACTTGTGTTCCCTCTCTCGCTGTGTCTCTCTCTGTCAAATAAATAAATAAAATCTTTAAAAAAAAAAAAAAAAAAAAAAGAGTCTCTTATGGCTTGTTTCCCTCTCTTCCCCCCCTCCCATACATTCATCTGTTTTGTTTCTTAAATTCCACATACGAGCAAAATAAAATTAAATATTTTTAAATGATTAAGAATACTATAGACAAGTTTATGGAAAAACATACTGACAGACAGAACTACAGTGATCACCAAAAGAGTAACACTTTTTGACCAAGTGGGACTTGTTTTAGAACACAAAGATTAGTTATTAAGAAATGTGGAAATGTAATTCAATAGATCTAAAAAGAAAAATATCATTATTCCCGTAAAATGTTAAGAAAGCATTTGGAAAAATTAAACTCTAATTTTCAATAAAATAAGACTCAAGGATACTTTGTGAACATGACAAAATCTACCTCAGTCCAAAACCAGCAGCATGCATAGCATTCCCATTCACACATATTTTGTTAGTCCTTTCATTGTGCTGCTTATTTTTTTAGATGGACAAATACAAAATCAGATCCTTTTCATCACATTATACTAAAAAAATTCTGGATTAAGGTACTAAATTTTAAAGAAAAGTCTTATTAGAAAAAAGACAGGATATAGAAAAATTTCATTAGGCCCATGGGGTCAGAAAAACAAGAATAAAAAAACAAGACATAAGAGGGTTGTATCACAATGTAAAACTTTCAGAAAGGATACTATTATGACAAAGCATATGAAGAGAAAATAATTAGTAATTATAACAAAAGATTAGCATTTAAAATATATAGGGAAGGGGCGCCTGGGTGGCTCAGTTGGTTAAGCGACTGCCTTCGGCTCAGGTCATGATCCTAGAGTCCTTGGATCGAGTCCTGCATCGGGCTCCCTGCTCGGCAGGGAGTCTGCTTCTCCCTCTGACCCTCCCCCCTCTCATGTGCTCTCTCATTCTCTCTCTGTCAAATAAATAAATAAAATCTTAAAAAAAAAAAATACATAGGGAATTCTTAAACTCAGGCTGAAACAACTTAAAAAGCCATAGGTTTATGAAAGTTGCACCAACTCAATAATCAGAAAAGTAGAAATTAAACAGTGACGTTTTACACTCTTTAGTATAAAAATAATTTTTATGTCTGGCGAGAAGGGAGGAAGTCATCTTCTAATGAGTAAGTTTACCTAGAAAAATTAGAAATCCTCATATCCTGTAACTCAAAAATACTAATCATTGGACTTTAGAGCAATAATTCTTAAATTTGATGTGTATCAGCATCATATGGGCACCTTGTTAAAAATATGGATTGCTGAGCCTTGCCCCCCAAATTTCTGTTCCAATAGGTTTGGGAGGGTACATAAAAATCTGCATTTCAGACGAGTTTCGAGGTGATGCTGCCATTTCTGGCCAAAGAACCTAACTTTGAGAAGCACTGCTCCCGAGTTTGGAGATAGACTTGCATCTATGCAGAGAGAACACGGATATTCATAGCAGTATTTATAGTAATGAAAAGTGGAAATTACCTAAATGCCTACCAATAAAATATAGTATTTAGAATATAGTGCACCCATACAGTAGGGAAAAATAGAGCATTACAAGGGATAAACTACATATGGATCAATCTCAAATTACTGGTGAACTGAGGGGAAAAATGTCCATCATATATACACGAAGATAATTTATACATTTTTAGAAGTACTCAAAACAATGAACAGTATTGTTCAACTCTCTACTCTCTCAACTCTCATATTTTTTCAGTGTTCATGTTAAAAAAAAAAAAAGACAAAGGATGAAAAATTGGAACTGAACTATAGGGCACAATGAGGAAGACTCCAAGAAAGAGCTATCAGAAGACTGGTATCAGAAGAGGACAAAGAAGACGTGCACCATCAGTTGCCAGGAGAATAATGTAGCAGTTCTTCAAGGAAAGCAATCACAATTAAATCATTGGCCACCTTTACCTAGATAGATCCCAAAAAGCAGAGAGGAAAGACCAGGACAGAATTCCATGGGATGAATTTGAATGGGAAGCTCAGACACATTTACCAGAGAATGTAACTCTGAACCATCTGCTGTGCAACTTATATACCCAACCTGGCTAAAGTCATTACGGAGAGTTTTTGTAACAGGCCTGCAGGCCATTCATTCTCCTAAACATACCAGCTTTCATAGCAGGATCAAACAAGACCTGTAAAATTAACTACTAAAATAACAAGACAAGTAAAATTAATTACTTGAACTATCTCTTGACGGTTTTAAGCACTCATTTCAGGGCTGTCACTGGAAGGTTACCCACTATGTGTCCCTATATTAAGACCAAAAGAGATATCTTCCAAGAAGTCCTTGTGTTTAAAAAAAAATTCTGTCTGTATCCAAAATACAGTGTCTTTCTTTTTCCGTGGCTATCAGAAACATCAGAGACGTATTTGTGAATCAACTTAGAAACTCTAAGATACATAATGATCAGTATGTATCTACAAGCCAACTTGGCCCTGCTTCTGATCTATTACTTTATATTTTCTGTAAAGTTACATTTTTATCTATTACTAATTTTCCCCATCTTAACAGATGGAGTCCTACAAATCTCACAGAGTCCACTGTAAAATAAAGTGGGGAATGAATAAATAACCTACCTGGGATTTGTTCATTTTCTGCTGTCTTGGAAAAATGTAGACAACTCTGAAGACGTGCTGGGTTACAACAAGAGGGATGGGTCATGGAAGATCTGGCCTGCCGGGGGGGGGCTCCTGAATCCTCCTGCCCTACAAAACTACACATACCCAATAGACAGGAAGAAGAATGTCAGTACCTCTGACCTTCAGATGTTCAAACACCACCTATCTAAGTGACTCTGATATAATCACGCAGTAGCTCCTGGGCATAACATTTTCCGCTGGGTAAATGTAAATATTTGCTCCCTGAGGATTTAATAGTTTAAACTTCTCTTGATGCTCACACACAAATTTTTTTTTTTTAAATAAAAAAACTGGTTTAAACAATACACCCAGTGAAGTAACATTAACTCTTCACCGAAACTGTTGTAAAAATACTCGCGACTAATCTGTTATCAATTTCCCTGTTACTAAACCTTTGGTTAGTGATTCCACAGAAAGCTATAAAAAGCAGGTCTTTAAGGAAAGGTCTAGGTTTCAATTTCTGTATCTTGCCGTTTCTCAAAGGATCTTTTTAATGTAATTTGCTTTTCCTTGCGTGGAAAGCAGGGAGTTCTCTCTCATGAGTCAGGAGACAAGACTTTCAGTCTTCGCCACTAACTGATTCTGAACAAGTCAGTAACCTTCAAGAGGGAAAGATTTTTTTATAGTAAGTGAGACAGAAACAGAATTCTTGAAGATCCTTCCTGAATGCCAGGGCAAGCCAGGACTGAGCAACAGCGCGCATCAAGATGCAGTGATGGGCACGGCTGGTGAGCAGCGCAGACTCCAGGAAGGATAAAGGCAGAACCGAGGGAACGGGGTCGCCCCGAGGCGGGGTGGTAACCGCGCAGCCCCGGCAGGCGGACCCCGTTCCCCCGACTACCGCACGCAACCCCCCGCCGCGTAGGCACACGCCCTCCCCGCAGCGCCGTCCCCTTCCCACCGGTTCCGACACCCACCGTGCACACGCACACGCCCTCTTCCTGCGGCCTCCGGGACGGGGCCCCACGGACAGCACCGCACGCTCCGCGCAGGGGCCGATCACGTGGGGTCCCGACCCCTAGTCCTGATGCAGACGTCCCCGTCCTGCCGTCGGGGGGTCCGCCGAACTCCTCCATACTATCGGGCACCGACCGCCTACCCCCGACCCGCGACCCCCGGGCAGCACGGCGCACCCCTCGGCCCTCGTCCAACCGTCTCGGGCTCACCTGTCGCTCCGTCGTCGTGAAGCACCGGCCCCAGAAAAGCGCAGAGCATAAGCGGCCCGAGAATAGCCTCCCACGCGAGAACTGAAGAAAACGGGGTGTGGGGGGAAGACGGAAGTGCACGGAGACAGGAGGTGGAACCAGGCCTGCGCAGAACCAGGCCTGCGCAGAACCGGGCAGTCCCTGCGATCAATGCCGCAAGTGAGAACGACCTTTCCCTGCTCACCACGGGCGGTGCGAGATTGGCTGAGAGTGCAGTATTTACCCAGCACATGAAAGTTTGGGGCGCTTGAGATAGTTCCCCAGGCAGTCAGAGCCGGTCAGGGACTCCCCACAGCTTACGGATTACAGACAGCCCAGGTCTTTGTGCAGCAACTGTGCAATTCAGACACAGAGCGGTCACGGAAAGGGAACCTGCATGTCACGTTCACTTTTTCAAATACTAGGAAATAGATTCCATCAATAAAATAAAAGAATGCCTAAAAAAAAAAATAGTATCCGACACCATCAGCGATTCTCTCAGAAAATGAAAAGCGAGGGGGCGAGGGCAGGGTCAAGAAACTAGTTCATCAAAAATCATGAAAACAATAAATGAAAATTGTAGATAAATCATAAAACAGACACATTCCAAAAATATATATATTCATTTACATAAACATATTCTTTCCTCTGTGGAGACATTAAGATTACTTGAATAAATGAAGATCTACCCTTTCACAGAAAGAATCGCTATTCTTTGAAAACATTCCACTAGGAATCTCAGTCTTGCATGTATTTTTTTCTCTTTGATTTTTGTGTATCTTAATGTGTACTTTGCAAAAGCATTCTCAACTTCATCTGGAATAAATAAAAATCTAAATTAGCAGACAAACATTTCAAAAAGAAAAATTCCTGAGAAGTATCAATATGCATAATATTGCTCGAATAAAAATAGTTTGGCATCTGCTTCATGGAAACAAAGCCATGATTAAGTGTATTTTTTGAATGTAGTATAATAAATGTAGCATTTCAAAGCGCTGAGGAAAGAATGAAATATTCCAAAAGCAATCCCTTCCCAACAATTTGGAGTAAAGTTATGTACATAGATCACACATGGTACAATTCACATGGATTCCAGATTTAAAATAAAACACTAATAGTGTGAATAAAAATAGAGGTGACAAGTTGTGACACCAAAAATAGAAACCATAAATTTAGTACCTGATACATTATAAAAAACAAACAACTCAGCTCTATTTTTTAAAAAAGTTAAAAGCAAATAAACAAAATTATAATTTTATATTATATTTTTATTTGAAAGAAAAGATATATTAATTTAAAAAGAGATCTTTAAATCAATAGAAAGAAAAACTTAAAATGGGCTACAGAACTAAGCACTAGTATGATAATGAATGACAAAGGTATATAAAATGAAAATGAATGACAAATATATATATATAAAATGAAAATGAATGACAAATATATATAAAAGTCCATTATGAGAATTGAAAAAATGCAAATGTTTAAGTAAAAACATGTAAGATATTGAGATTTAATTTAATTTTTTTTAAATTTAAATTTAAATTTAAATTTCTGTATAAAAGTTCACTCTGCTGTACTTTTATGAATTTTGACAAATGCATAGATCTGTGTAACCACCACCACAGTCAAAATACAGAACTGTTTCATCACAGCTCCCAAAATTCCTTCATGCTACCCTTTTGAAGTCAAACTTTCTTAACCTTTGGCAGCTACTATCTCTTCTTCATGCCTATAGTTTGCCTTTTCTGGAAAGTCACATATATAGACTCTTACCATATGTAATCTTATGAATCTGCTATCTTTTACTTAGTACAATACACTTAAGATTCATTAATGTTGTTTAGTGTATCAATACACTTGTTGGCTTTTATTTCCCAAGTCCTACTCCACGGTATGAATTTACCACACTTCACTTATCTCTTTCCCAGTCAAGTGACTTTAATTTCCAATTTGGGGAAATTATGAATAAGTAAGATACCATTTTGGAGTATAAGACTCAAACGTATTTTTAAAAAGAGTAAGACAGGGCGCCTGGGTGGCTCAGTTGGTTAAGCGGCTGCCTTCGGCTCGAGTCATGATCCTGGAGTCCCGGGATCGAGTCCCGCATCGGGCTCCCTGCTCCGCGGGGAGTCTGCTTCTCCCTCTGACCCTCCCCCCTCTCATGTGCTTGCTCTCTCTCATTCTCTCTCTCTCAAATAAATAAATAAAATCTTTAAAAAAAATTAAAAAATAAAAAAAATAAAAAGAGTAAGACAGAGTTAGGATGTGTGCCTGAGAAAATACTTATTCTTACTCACTTTTATTGAGAGTTTAATTCATGTAAACTCTCTGGAGGCTCATTTTTTTAATCAAATTCTAAAGGAATTTTAAGTGGGAAATTCCATTTAGACAACTATGCATGACTTTATAATAATAGAATTAATTTTCATTGATGTACGTACAAGAATGTTTACATCAGTCCGAGTCCAGGTGGGAAGAGAAACCTCTCAAATATGATGAGAGGGAATTTAATAGAACAGGTTAAAACAGGTATTTTAAAGGCAAAAGTGAACACCAAGGTAACAGGGGTAACAATTGCAGACATCAGCTACCACCCCAGGGTAACATGATGGAAGAAGTCAAAGAATTCAAACGTAGCCACTCAGAAGAGGATTCCACACTTGAGGAACTAGGATTCCACACCTGAAGCAGGGGAGGTGCCTGGGTCATGCTGGTATCATAGGTGCTGAGAGAAGAGCCTCGCAGAACTGGAATTCAGACCTTCAGGGGGTGCTGTCCAGTTACTGCAGGACTGTCAGAAGGGCATGGTGGGGTAATGCCTCTGAGGGGTGTCCCGCTCAGCTGGTGCTGCTGTCAGAGAGGGATCAATATGGCTACATGTGGGAGAGCTAAAAGAAGCTGGAGAGTGAGCGAACCTGCTGGGATTAGATCCTAGTGATGGTTGCAGAACTTTGTGAATATACTTGAAACCACTGAATTTTCTGCTCTTAATGATACGTGAATTATATCTCAATTTTTAAATACTTCAAAAAAAGAAGCTGTAGTGTACCACTAGTGGCCAAGGTGAAGGGCCATTGCTAGGGTGATGTTAAGGAAAGCACTCTGCAAACAGGAAGAAGGAAGTTGCTCCTCCCATAACCCTGTCCTCCAAACTTCCTGTAGGGTCTCCTAGGGCAAAGCCTAACAGGCAGCAGGGACAAGTGTGAAATGTGGTTTACACAGTTCCAAGCATCAATATCGCAATGCACAGTAGAGAATGCTAGGCTTAGTGTAAGGAGGCAATAACTAAAACTAACAGGATTCCTCACAATTTAATTTATAAAAGCAAATACTAGAAACAAAATGTCCTTGAAGTTTGTGTAAGCAAAATAAATTAAGGCCATATAGTGGAACGCTATGTAACCATTAAAAGTGGTAATGTAGAGGGGCACCTGGGTGGCTCAGTTGGTTAAGTGCCCGACACTTGATTTCAGCTCAAGTTTTGATTTCAGGGTCCTGAGTTCAAGCCCCATGTTGGGCTCCATGCTAGGCATGGAGCCTACTAAAAAAAGAAAAAACTGGTAATGTAGAGGTATACTAACTTACATAGGGGGTTGGTTACAAAATACTTTGAAATTAAGAATTTGGTTTATGTAAGCATATTTAAGACAAGATCACATTTAAAAAATGTACTAGAGAGGGGTACGTGGCTGGCTCGGTCAGTAGAGCATGCAACTCTTGATATCAGGGACATGAGTCCGAGCCCCACACTGGGTGTAAAGATTACTTAAAACAAAAGTGAGAAAAAAAATGTACCAGAGAGTGACATCAGCATGATGGCAGCATAAGACATTGGTTCCTCCTTTTTCTCTCCCTTTTTAAAAAACTAATTTGACATCCATCCACGAACAAAAATGGGTTGATGGGAGTTGTGGAACCCAACACTATATGCCAAGAGACCCAGAATGAGTCTCCTCTACCTGTGTACCTATTAACAGGCACGCAGTCCTTACTAAGAACTGCAGAACCAACAGAGCCAGCAAACCTGCCCAGTGCCTTTTGCCCTGGTTGGGAAAACAACTGGGAGAGTGCTCACCTAGGACAGATGAATGGTAAAGAAAATACACACACATGGGAATATTATTCAGCCACAAAAAGAGAAATCTTGCCGTTTGCAATACAGATACACCTTGAGGGCATTATGCCAAATGAGATAAGTCAAACAGTGAAAGACAAATGTTGTATGATCTCACTTATATATGGAATCTTTAAAAAAAAACAAAAACAACCAAAATCATAATACAGATGGGGGGTTGCCAGAGGCAGAGTGTGGGGAGTGGGTGTCATGGGCAGAGGGGCTGAAAAGGTACAAATTGCCAGTTACAAGATAAATAAGGCTGGGGATATAATGTTTGGCATGGTAAGTACAGTTAACAATACCGCATTGTATTTTGAAAGGTGTTAAGAGAGTAGATCTTAAATTTCTCATCACAAGAAAAAAACCTGTAACAATTTGTGATAATGGATGTTAACTATACTTATTATGGCAATCACTTCACAATATATATATGTGCCAAATCATTATGTTGTCAACCAAATGCTTACCCAATGTTATATGCCAATTATATCTTAATTTTAAAAACTATCCAAAGCCAATTATATATTCAATGCAATCCTATCAAAATTTTAATGGCATTTTTCACAAAAGAGAAAAAACAATATTAAAATTTGTATAGAACCATAAAGACCACGAATAGTCCAACCAATCATGAGTAAGAACCAAGCTGAAGGCATCACACTTCCTGATTCCACACTATACCACAAAGCTGTAGTAATTAAACTAGTATAGTATTGGCATAAAAATAGCTGGGAAGACTAATGGAACAGAATGAAGAGTCCAGAAATAGACTCATGCATATACAGTGAACTAATATTTGACAAGGGATCCAAAAATGTTCAGTGCAGAAAGACAGTCTTTTCTTTTTTTTTTTTTTTTTAAGATTTTATTTATTTATTTGCCAGAGAGAGACATAGTGAGAGAGGGAACACAAGCAGGGGGAGTGGGAGAGGGAGAAGCAGGCTTCCCGCGGAGTAGGGAGCCCGATG